GTCAAAAAGACAGTTTTGTCCCTGGACATGGGGATTTGGATGTGTGGTAGAGCCCATGCAGTGACTGTGGTTGGTTACCAATTTTTGTATCTCAGCTGAGGTACTTGTAAAATTGTAAAATAAAAACCGTATCAGTCACCCAGAATCATGGAGTTGAGATTGGTGGGCATATAAATTCAATGAATGAATGGCAGTTTGATGAAGCAAATGATCAAATGGGCACATAAAGGTTTCTATTTTTTAGTATGTTTTATTGAGGTAGCATTACTTATAAAGGTAGAGCGAAAGAAGGTAAGTGGGAAAAGAAATTGGTAACTAACTGAGAAGTGGTCTTTGAGAAATATGGTAAACAAAATCAAATAATGGCACTCTTCCTAAGCCACTGGTGCTGATTTATTTACAAAAGAATGAGATATCGTCTCCAAAAATCCATAAAATAAATAAATACACCATTCCCTCTCCTTAATTTAGAAGAGAACTGATACAAAAAAAATGCATAAAAGAAACAAGCATTATATTAGTGGTTTAAATTGGACAAATAATAAAAAAAGAGAGAGCTAATCCTAACCAAACAGCTATATTTAGCTCTAACTAGGTTTTAGAAACATTTGCCACAATAGGCATTTATTAAAAATTTATCAAGATAAAGGATTGGAGGATTTTACTCAATTATGGAAACAAATTTGTAATATGGAAATTTTATTAATCAGTCTGATTTATTCAGGTTACTGCACATTTGCCTTTGTCAAATGATTTACAGAATCATTTTGTAAATACATTCTGGGAGTTGAAAAAGACTGTGTTTGTATTGTTGTTGCTTGCAATTGCATTAACTACCTTGACTGAATTTTTTTTTCCTAAGTTGCATTAGCAATAACGTCTATCATAAACTGCACTTTTTATACTACTGCAAAGGCTTTGAGCGTTGTGGGATCTTACAAACAAAATTTAAATTAAGTTGATTTGGTACAAACATAAAAATGAAGGGTTGAGGGACCAATAACGCGTCAAGGAATTAAGCATGGATCCTGACACCAAGCTTTTTGTATAAAGCCCGTTGAAGCAGCAGATTAGCCTGACTTTAGCTGTCGTTAATAGAAACATGCCTAAAGTTAGTCTCTAAACAAAGGGTGCTCCCTTCCCTATTACTTTAATAAGAATTCCATATTACAAATAAAACAGAACAAAACATAGATCAGGGGTCCCCAAACTTGGCAACTTTAAGACTTGTGGACTAACTCCCAGAATTCTATGGGCTGGAGAATTCTGGAAGTTAAAGTCCACAAGTCTTAAAGTTGCCAAGTTTGGAGACCTTTTCTATAGATAAACTCTTACTTATTGCTGGCTAGGAATAATGGTATTATAATTCAAAACACCTGGCTGGCTCAATTGGGAGCAGGTACCTTTAGAAAACCTATCTAGTGAATACTTCCTTCCCAACAGTCTCTTCCTAGATCAATAGCAATAGCATTTAGACTTATATTCCACTTCATGGTGCTTTAGAGACCTCTCTAAGCGGTTTATAGAGTCAGCATATTGCACCCAACAATCTGGGACCTCATTTTATCAACCTCGGACACATGGAAGGATGAGTCAACCTTGAGCTGGTCAGGATTGAACTGCCGAACTGCAGGTAGCTAGCAGGCAGAAGTAGCAGTACTGCAGCACTGCACACCAACCGCTAAATGAGATTCTCCCATGTATCCTCTGTGATTTCACTCTTAATATTCCCTAAGCTTGTTTTAATCAAAACTGTCCAAATGTACTCTTATTTATATTTATTACTAGTTAGCAGCATACTGTTTTTATTCTAATATTGTATTCCCTTAGGGAATTTCCATAAAATAAACCCCTCACAAGGT